TTTACTATAAAATGTATTGTTGGTATATATATATATATATATATATATATATATATATATATATATATATATATATACCAAGTATATGATTGGTGTATACCGGAATAAATTCCATTATCCAACAATTACTATTCTTAAAAGAGTGCTCAAAACAGAATAGAGTGAAAATAATTATTTATTTAAAAACTATAACATGAATATGTTATAAAATCACTACAAAAATAGCTATTTTGTTTCAACATCTCTGGTCTCTTATGAAATGATGATGTTGAATGTCTACATTCAACATCATCACTTGATAAGTCACCAGACATGTTGAAACAAAATAGCTATTTTTTAGTGATTTTATAACATATATATGTTATAATTTTTAATTTAATAATTATATATATATATATATATATATATATACTTTCATAGAGTTTTGTTTGGGAGGTTCACCATTTACCCATAGCTGGGATCCTAACACATTTTACCTGGTGACAACATCAATTAAAAAATGGTCCACGCTCCTCAAAACCTCCAGTCTCTCGATCAGAGGCCTTGCTGCCGGATGTAGTCCATCGTCATACGCAGGAGTAAAATTAACAAAGAATATCAAATTCCAAACTTTACGCTTATGTGGAGACATAAGAACATCTCTACATATATCTTAATTCGCCAAGCTATCTTAAGAGGAATTAGAAATAGATATTTCTCTGTTGTACATATGGGAGCGGTGTTCATTTTTATGCGACAAAATCGTGTTCACCTTTTAACGATTCTAAATAGAAAAGACCTTTGTAAATATACACGAACTGATAGACGGCTCGAAGGGATTAGATCCGATTAGGTCTAGACACAGATTAGAGATCAGGTTTCTGGTAAAGGAAGTGAATTATGTATTTTTCTTTTCTGGAGTAATTAACCAGTAATTTCAATTACCTAATTTAGCGCAAAAAAATAGAACAACGCAAGTGTAGCCGATAGCAAATTGATGAATTCACAACTACAAATGACTTGAATCGAATAATAAAGTATAGCTTAAATTGTCAGCCCAATTGTATCAGGAAAGGCACGAAGATGTCATCGGTAATGAATGAAATATTCTACAGGATTTCGAAATTCAAATGTACGAATTCTGATAAAAAAAAAATAATAAAATATCGGGAGAAGTGTTATGAAAATAAAACTCCAAGACATATCGATTCGGCGTTTAATCTCCTTCGAAGTAGTCCCCCTTCTGAAGCCACACATTTTATCCAGCGTCGTTTTCATTGATGGAAGCATTCCTGGAAAGAGGGAAAATTTGCGAGTGCAGACATCTGTGGAATATAGTTGTTGAACCTGGGGAAGGTTCACTATTTACATTATTCGGACTATTTTCCTCATCTTTGTCGAAATAAAGGGTTCAGTTCCAACCACCAGAAGAAGGCCTGAGCATAAAACGGCCGAAACGTTGTAATAAATATGGCGACAAAGATGAGGACAATACTCCGAGTAATGTAAATAGTATACATAATACCTCATTTCAGAAATATAGACAGATACTGGGGAAAGTTTTATTTGGCCTAAGACTGTTTCACAAACCTTGGTCACTGATAGAGCTGTGGTGATAAAATAAGCACACCCATCTCCTCTGCCGCTCATCACAATAAAATTTATAGCACTGAAACTGAAAAGTCAAATAAAGTTTCATAAGCTTCTAGAGTTGTTACTATATTACAAGACACTTTGCGGTATGGTAAGATCAACACATTCTACACACCTCCCTTCCAAGTCCTGTTATGAACATCGTAAGTGAGCGAGAACTTATTGTGCATGCGTGGTTGTTCAAGATCAATCTATGCCACGCGGCTTCTCGCTGTGTATTTTAGCTCCTTTACCATAGCACCTGTCCTGTTACGTTTTGATCAGAACTTGTTTGTGTTTTACGTCGGATATAGTCATCTTAAATAACGAGTAAATATCCTTGATCACGTGTTAATTAAAAAAATAATAAAGAAAAAATAAATCTGATTGGGTATGAACGGTGATCCACTAGGAATTATGCAAAATGAAACTGGGAATCCGTAATTTAGACAAATGAGTGCAATACAGAAGCTATACTTTATATGGAAAATATAATAGCGTGGCGAACATTGGCATTCGAATGGCCGATATCCAGAAAACCAGACTGTTATCGTAAGCAAAGTTCCACCCCGCCCAAAATAAAAAATCAGTAGGTGGAAATAAGTATTGCGAAATAAGCACAGATTGTATTAAAAAAAAACTGAACAGTGAATTATGAGCGTATGCTGAAAAGTTCTCATCCTAACTAAGAAATAGATGAACAACAGCCGTGTAATATTCATACGATTTTATATATGGAGTCTACAGTTCAATTCAGTTGAGAATTTTTTTTATTCGGCTTCACCCCATACAAGGCAGTAAAACCACTAAGATACAAGGGATTATTGGATGATGAAGAAGTCAGAACAAAAGATTAATAATGAGTTGAAGAGGAAAGAGTAATCAGGAGGACAGTAGATAATTTTTTGCAGATTGAAGTTGGCTGGAAAGCATGGAGTCCACAAGCGAGAAAAGAAACAGTTAGCATAGAACTTACGACTACATTTTGCCAGCTCATCTGTAAATTGATCTAGGTACCATAACGAAAAGCAATATTTATTTCTCCTATGTACAGAAAATGTGGTACAAGGCCAAAATGGAGAATGGGGAAAGGAACTGTCTTCATCTCTCTTAACATTAAACTTAGCCACTAACACTGACCCAAACATACAACAATATTCCTAACACCAAACAACGCATTCTTCCCTACCTTTCTTACTACACCCACCATAATACCTCATTGTCTCCATAAAAGGTCTGACTATTCCCCTTATTTACAGTTCATTTTCTGTGATTGGGGAGGGGAATAAAATAACAATTTAAAAAAGGTAGCCCCAATGAGTATTTACAATATCAAAACAAAACTGTGGCAGAAACATCAGTTAACTGGACGAAATTATTGCGGGTCTTTAATAATAGGAAAAAAAACAATCATTCATTCCAAACACACACTCAAACACACACTCATTCAGACATCACGAGAATTACGAAAATCGCACTCGAAACGAAGAGCTCATCCGAACAATTAGCTTGAAAGTATTTGTAAAACAAAAAAACAAAAAAAACAGAGAGGCAACTTTACGGTGGTGGGAAGAGGAATGAATCCGAATAAAATTAGTTTCTTTAATCTATTATAATCTATTATAATCCACTGTTCTAATTTTTGGTTATAGGTAGAAAATGATATTTAATTAAGTATATTTTTTCTGATTTTAATAAATAAGGATTTTACGATAAGCTATGATGGAGTAATGGTTAGCGACTCGAATTGAGGAATCGGAGAGCCGAGTTCAAATTCCAGTCGAGTTGTTTATATTCCTTTATATGCTAATGCTCCTGTGAAAAGTAATGATGGATAAAATAGCAAGACAGACTGGCATCTGTAGCCTTAGTTGACAACTGAATTCAAAACCAGCCTGGAGAGATTCGGTTCCGTTAAAGGAATCACCACTGCTACTACAGCGGCAGTACTTGTTTTACCCCAACGGCCCTAATAAGGTTAGGGATTTCGTGATCGTGATGAATCGGTTAAAACAGCCCAGCATTATTGCTTTTACTTTAAATCTCCCGGTAAAATTAGTACACACACACACACACACACACACACACACACACACACACACATATATATATATATATATATATATATATATATATATATATATATATAAAAGAGGTTGTAGTGGTTCCAACGAGAGAAAAGTAGGTATATTAAAAAGAAGAGAAGAGAGGTGCCGCAAACGTTTTTGGTGGTAATGTGGATTTACTTAGAAAAAAATATTATGCTTTGTTTTACATAATTTTACGACACGTGTTTCTGGTCTCACGGCCGTCTTCAGGTAAAAGCGGAGATTTCCACATATTAAAAATAATTAATTTTTTCCTTATGTTCAATGTTAAATATTCTCGATATGAGACATTCTCTGTTTTTGTGTTAGTAATCCGAATGTTTTTCTTGAATTGGCAATGAAGAGTTCTGCGCGAAGGGTCATAAAACAATTAAGGTTGGTCCAGCGAGATGATGAATTAGTTATCTTTTAATGTTTTACTGACCCCTATGTGTTCTTGGATCTGTTTCCATTTTCGTGTGTTTCTGTCAGCATGCGTGTATATATGCGTGTGTATATTCCCCCTCCATACATATACTGTCATACTATGAGAATTAGTAAATTCATATGTACATATACACGCATACACACATATATGCTTATATATATATATATATATATATATATATATATATATATATATATATATATAAAAGGCATGAAAAGAGTTTGAGGTTTGTATTAGTAATAAATAAATTGAATACTTATGATAGACGAATTCTCTTCTAGCCTTTCCAGATTACGCCTGCTGTGATTTCGTTCGCTTTGTAATCGACACAGAAAAGCGTGGTAATCTGTGAAAATTCTTTTGACCTTTCTGAAATAGTCAGTAAACAAAATATCCATTCACCATAGGAAAGTAACCATGACCTTTCCTGTTAACTTTTGGGTCTGAAATTTCTTCTACCATAGTGACCCAAGTGGCGCCAATGCATGGATTACTGCTTTTGTACGTCAATTCATAACGGTTGAGTAAGGTATGATCACCAATAACAGGTCGTTAAAAAAAGATCACACAGTCTTTGAAATGCTGTTAAATCAATTTAGAGTTGTCTATTCTACAAGCTTTTTTTTTCTGGTCGACATTTAAACATTTTGTTACCTAATTGTCTGTCAGCTTCTGCATAAGCAGCTGGTCATAAATTCTAAAGTCTGAAGTTTTCCCTGGATATTTCTCCACTGTCGAATTTTGTTTCCGAGTTTCTTTAACTATGGCTCAAAAACTTCTCATTTTTGCTCATTGAACTCTTAAAATCCCCAGCGAATCAGGCGAAAATGTCTTCCCTTTCAAAATAATTGCCTTACGACCACATCACGTTGCAACACCGGTTCCCGTACGATTATCGAAGTTAAGCAACCTCGAGACTAGTCACTAACTAGATGGGTAACCGTTTGGTAATACCAGGTGCTGTAAGCTTAGATGAGCAGTTGGAATAATGGATAATGGTCTGGTATTGTTCAATAGAGTGCCAAGTTCTGTTGTGTTTGTCATATTCACTTACGCGTAAATACCCTTCGGAAAAGCATGAATCAATCTCTTCCCCGCCAGCTATGGGTAAATTAGTAAGATTTGTATCATTAAACCATTATCATCACTCTCACAAAAAGTACTTTGTTTATGGCTACATCACGTTGAAATACCGGTTCCCGTAAGATTACCGAAGTTAAGCAAACTAGAGACTGGTCCCTACCTAGATGGGTGATAGTTTGGGAATACCAGGTGATGTAAGCTTGGATGGGCATGTGGAATAATGGATGATGGTTCGGTATTGTTCGCTAGAGAGCCAAGTTCTGTTGTGTTTGTCACTTACGCTCAAATACTCGTGGGAAAGGCATGAATCCACATTTTTTCCCAGCTATGGCTTGTATCACTAAATTATTATTATCTCAGAAAAAAAATCTTAAAATCTACGGTATATCAACCCCAATGGGTCATTTAATGCCGACAACTTTTTTTTTTCCTGGTAATATTTTTGTTTTGTCAAATCTATTTCTGCTAATATTTTTTTCCTCGAAAATGTATAGCTGGTAATATTATTTAAAAAAATGTATTGCTGGTAATTTTATTTTTCAAAAACGTATTGCTGGTAATCGTTTTTTTTTTTCATTCAAAAATTTATTTCTGGTAATAATGTTTTTACAAAGTATTTCTGGTATTAAAACCTATTTTTTATACTTTTATAATGCTTTTTTACCTTAGTCTCGGGGTTAACTATTTTCCCATAACTGGGACCCTAACAGGTGCTACCACCACGGTTCAGAGTGGACCTGGGAACACCAGCAATTAAGAGGTGGTTCCACGCTTCTCAAAGCCTCCTGACGAGAGGCCTTGCTTTTGGGTGTATTTTATCGTCTTACCCTGGACTCGGGTGTAGTTTATCGTCTTACCCTGGACTCGGGTGTAGTTTATCGTCTTATCCTGGACTCGGATGTAGTTTATCGTCTTACCCTGGACTCGGATGTAGTTTGTCGTCATACCCAGGACGGACACTTTATCTTCGTCTTTGACACTGGTCGAGATATTTTCTGCATAATCAGCTGGCCATGAATTATAATTATGCCCTTGGATAATGTGTTGTAATGTAAGCGAAGATTTTGTTGATATTAACACCTATCCAATCTCTCTCCCAGGAACCACAAGATAATAAGGAGAGCCGGGGAAAAAAGCCGGGGGGTAACAAATAATAACACCGCTTCGGAAGCTACAACTCGAGAAACACTGGACCGAATCCACAAGACATTATCTCAGATTTCTTACTGATTTCATACAGTAATTGTGACACAAGGCCGGAAAAATGGGGAGATTGGTGGAGGTTGGTCATTACTAGGTATCATATACATAGCTAATCAGATTCACGACCCATCCATCCGTTACACTATATGCATTCACCATAAGAATCTATCCGTTATCATTTGCTTCTACATACACCAAAATGTATCTTGCACACAGAGCTATAATATACTTAGCTAATCGGATTCAAAACGTAGGACAGTACAAAAACAAACTGGGGAGGTATTGAATCACGAATTGGATCATAAGGCGAAGTCGGAAAAGACACTTACATTAACAAGGTACACTTAAAAAAGTCTAACTTACACTGGAAAGGACTCATCAGGAAATCACCCCGTTGTGAATTAGGGAGGCCCAAAAAAGAAAATCAAGGCTATCCCCGTTCATGAAAACCAGGCTCGCTATAGTTACCCAGCTTTAGTCGCAATCACCATTCCAGCCATGACCAGCAACGTCAGAAACATTCAATGCAGGGACGACTGATAGATTTGTAAATGTGAAGGATGGACATTGACGAGAATTACCTTCTAGCCCGACACAGTGACTTAACTTTCCTTGCAGTAGGTGCAGCTGTAGGCGTGCCAATTCAAGTCAATGGAGAACGTGAAGGCGCAGTGTGTTTCTCTGCACGAGTCTCACATCTGCTATGCTGATAGGGGTCAGAAACTTTTCGTTTTGGAGGCATTAAAATTATCGCGCTATTTCCTGCTCAATTGACCACTAGTTCGAGGTCCTATTCATGAGCAGCGTAAAGGTTGAATTTGTCAAGGTTGAATTTGCGAAATTGCAGTTGATACTAGAGTAAGTGGTAGTGACATCAGCATAAATGCCTACTTGGGAACTTCTGACATCAGTGTGATCATTGAAGATCAGAAACCGCGTAGGACTCAGGATAGAGCCTTGGGGACAGCCGCGTTCGTGTGAAAGGATCCAGAAACAAGCCCGTTTAGAACGACCTTTATTTCACGATTTAATAGGATTAGGATATCTGACTGATGCCGAATTGGTCGAGTTTCAATCCAGTCTTGAAGCAATCGGACGTCTAGCCAAACTGAATAGCTGTGACACAGAGAAGCAATCTGTCTGTGGATGACAATATATATATATATATATATATATATATATATATATATATATATATATATGCACACATACATGCCCCCCACACATATATATATATATATATATATATATATATATATATATATATATATATCTTAAGATAAGTTAATAAATATTAATATTTAAATTTTACAACTGTCAGTTTCCATTTCGTGCCTGGCGATTTCCGTGTGCGTGAAACCCAGCTATATCAAATGGTGAGGAACAAAAAATATATATATATATATATATATATATATATATATATATATATATATATATATATATATATATATATAAAGTTCTTTAGTTTCTCTGTCTCTAATATTCCATTTCTTTTTATTTTCTGTCACAGGCATATTGCTTATTTTAGCGGAAACGCCCAATAAGTTACCGCATAAACAACGCATTAACAGCCTCGTTTTGATCCACCCTTTGAAGCTCACCTCAGCAGGAAGTAAATCAATGCGAACGAACTTTGTGAAAACAGCGATTTTCGTTAAGTGACGCCATTACCGGTGATTTGCAGGCGACGATGCAAAAGCTTCAAATCAATCTCTATATGCCATTTTAAACTCAAAGAAAAAAAAGATTTAAGCATAAAACCGAGAGACAATTTTATATTTCATTAAATTAATTTTTATCTAAACATAACGAAATATGTCATTTGAAATAATTTTTCAATGATAATGTTTGCCAGCAACACCTTTATCGACTGTGACATGTGTCCTCGAGGACACATGGCACAGTGGATAAAGGCGTTAGTTAAATCCAGTGACGGGACCCTAAGAGTGTGAGTTCAAAACCTGGATAAGGCGGTGGAGAACTTGGAGAGGGGAATTAACGGGAGAAAACTGATAACTGACATCTATTAGACATGGCGCGTGGAACTAGTACAGTCTACCCCAAAAAGCGAAATAAAGGGTTCAATTCGACATTCCAGCCCCCTGAAGAAGACCGGAGCGTACAACGGCCGAAACGTTGTGACAAATATCGCGACAAAGATGAGGACAATAGACTGTGAATATGGCAATAAAGATGAGGACAGCAGTCCAAACAATGTAAATAGTGTAAATAGTTACAAGACCTCATCTGAGAAATATAGACAGTGAATATGGCAATAAAGAGGAGGATAACAGTCAAAAAAATGTAAATAGTGTAAATAGTTACAATACCTCATCTCAAAAATATAGACAGAATCCGACGAAGGCCTGAGCGTATAACGGCCGAAATGCCGTAAACATAACAATAAAAATATGACAACTGTCCGAACAATGTAAATAGTGTAGTTACAAACCTCATTTCAGAAATATAGATAGATACAGAAAATTGTGTTTATGAGTATCTATCAGCAGTCACTAACTTGAATTGTTAAAACCAACCTCAATTAAGCCTCCATATCCTCAGAAACTTTGATCTCACCCCGTCAGGAATAATTTATCCACACATACCGACAACTGCTGTAGGCAGTCATCGGTCGAGTATCTTTGTATAGTAGGTTTGCTTGTGGGTGTGAGTTCCGTTTTCAAAACATTAATTATAGTTTCCAAGTTAGTAATCTAAGAAGTTAATGCGGATGGGGATGTCTTTACTGTTTTCGGAAAGATGTTCCCGCAATGGCGTCTGAATGAATGCTGCTTTTATTTTGTAGACTATGTCCGCCTTCCATTTCAACATTGTCGGAGATGTGATCAGAGGAAGCTATTCCGGCTTTCATGCACAATAAGATTATGCGTATAGGCATCCAGGCTATCAATTCTCCTTGGTGCAAGACAGCTATCGCGAAAAAGAGAAGAAACATGTTTAAATCGAAGTCTGTGGTATTCTTCTGCCTTGCAACATAAGAAGTGCAATTCAATATTTCTTGAACGCAAACCCGTCTCCCCACAAAAATATGGCAATGACGCCTTTTGTATTGAAAACAGTCAAGAAGGAAAGTAATAGTTCTCCTTATCCGCGGATTCAAGGCGCTCGGTTTCGATTAATCACGGCTGAATGGAGAAATACACAATTCATAATATTTATTTAATAATGGTTCAAAATCTGAAAGACAGTGATAACGGCAATTGGGATATATCGAACGAGAAGCCATAAAGTATATGCTTTCAGGGAAAAACAGAAATTTCTCTAAAAAAGAAAAGAAAATAGCTATGATCTGTTAGAACGAATCTTCTATTTATAACATAGGTGGAGTATTAGATAGCGGCTCGGATTGAGAAATTCCAGTCGAATCCATTACATTCACTTACGTACTAATACCCTTGGGAAAGGTATGAATCCTCTTCTCCCACTCCCCAGCTATGGGTAAATAGCAGGACAGAGAGGGTTCTATAGCCTTGGATGGCAACTGATTTACAGCAGAAAGAAATGGTAACCTACTGCGGGAAAAAACTTCCTCGTCAGTCATGCATCGAAAGATACATGATCGCTTAAGCGTGTATCACGCATGGGACATAACTGACTGGTCTATAACATAACTTTAATAATATACAATGACAAACAGAAGACATCAGCTACCTAGTTAAGACATCAATTTATTTAATATTTACTAAGATGTACGAAAGTAGGCTGAAAACTTCATAGGATGGCCATGAAGGGTTGATGCTAGAACTGTGAAATCTTGCATGCACTAATTCCAACTCTTACGTAGCCGGACATTTGGTCGACGGACGTGTCGCCGACGGACATTTGGCTGAGAAACATTTGGCAGAAAAGACATTTGGCCGATGGACAGTTCACCGAAAAAGTACAAGTAAAAATAGTAAGAAGCAGTACTTTAAGTATTTTAATTAGAAGTATTATAAGGTAGAATAGGTCTATTAAATATCATTGAATTTC